GGGCAGTCACCACATCCACTAATTTTATTTTATTTTTGTCCCACTTTTTAATCCAGAAGGCATTTTTTAATATTGCACTATCACAATATTGGATCTACTGCTACCCAGTCCAGGAGATGGGACATGAAGGAAGGAATCTTAATTCCAGTTAGTTTTTTTGAATCTTGGATCTCTCATTTAAGCACGCTACAAAATATATGTAGCATGACAGGTTTCACAAGACCGCAATGAACCTTCTGTTGTTATCTCTATCCTTCCTCCAATTCAGCTTTCAAAAGTGCAGTTCTATACATGTCTACACATCAGTGAGACCCCTTCAGTTTAACAGAGTTTATCCCCAGGCAGATGGACTAGGACTGTAGATCAATATAAGACTGTATCCTCTGGCAAAAGAAAATGGCATCATTTGGTTTCTTAATATTGATACTTTTTAAAAAACAATGAATGCTTCACTAGCTTAGCCATCTTCACTCACACATAATTATCAGAAGGATTTTTAAAGGAGTTGCGGCCTTAACTTGCTGAACTCTGAAACAGAGCATTTGCTTTATAAACACTTGAATTGATCAGAAACAGTCATGCAACTTGCCCAGCATAAAGCAATCACAACTGAATTTATTAAAGCTTTCCTAAATGTCTGAAGCTGGCTAGATGGCTCAGGGGTTTATGAAGCCAGAGATTGCGAGTTCGATGCCCACTGTGCCTCCTGTGAGTAGAGCCAGCCTATTTGGCCCTGGGCAGGCTGCACAATCCCATGCACCTCCCAGAGGAAGAATAAGTACTAAACCACTTCTAAATGTTATCTACTTGAAAAACCCTGAAAAGGGTTGCCATAAATCAGAATTGACTTGGTAGCACATTATTATTATTAAACCTCTAGACATCCTGATCCTGAACTTTTTTCCTTTACTTCCAATGGAACTTTTTCCTAAATAATAATCAGAGCTTGGAAAAATTACCTTCTTAGTGCTGCAATTCACAGAATTTCTCTTAGTGATTCTGAGAAATATAGTCCAAAAATATAACTTTTCCAAGGTTGCAGTTTACATTTCTACCCTGTGTCTGGATAAGGTAAAGGTAAAAGTTCCCCTTGACAATTTTTGTCCAGTCATGTTCGACTCTAGGGGGCGGTGCTCATCCCCGTTTCCAAGCCATAGAGCCAGCGTTTTTGTCCGAAGACAATCTTCCGTGGTCACATGGCCAGTGCGACTTAGACACAGAATGCTGTTACCTTCCCACCGAGGTGGTCCCTATTTATCTACTTGCATTTGCATGCTTTCGAACCGCTAGGTTGGCGGGAGCTGGGACAAGCGACGGGCACTCACTCCGTCGCGTGGATTCGATCTTACGACTGCTTGGTCTTCTGACCCTGCAGCACAGGCTACAAAGCGATATTTTTTAACAGCTGATCGGCGGTTCCAAAATGGCCGCTGGGTAAAAAAAAATGGCCACCCGCTATTTTCTGGGATGGATTCCTCGCTTACCGGGCAGCGAAAATGGCCACCGTATGGAGGATTTTTGTTTAAAGGTGAGTCTGAAGCCCACAGGAACACATTGAAGGGGTTTCAATGCATTCCTATGGGCTTTTTAATATCGCATAGCAACAAAATCGCTTTGCAGCAATTTTTGCTGCACCGATTATCATCGCTATGTGAGGCACCACTGTACTTCCAATGGAACTTTCTCTTAAATAATAATCAGAGTTTAGAAAAATTACCTTCTTAGTGCTGCAATTCACAGAATTTCTCTTAGTGATTCTGAGAAATATAGTCCAAAAATATAACTTTTCCAAGGTTGCAGTTTACATTTCTACCCTGTGCCTGGACAAAGGCAGACATAAGTCAGACAACTCTATAGGCTATTGTTCAAAATCATCACAAGTTTACTTTTTATATATTAAGAAAGCTAAGGACACTTATACTTAGTAACGCAGACAACAGATAATCAATGTTGTATACTGTCAGATTTTTATTTAGTAGCTCAGTAGTTCCCAACCTGAGATACTAACCAGGATACTTAGGGTACGTGAAAAAAAAAGAATAATGGTGGGGAAAGTCACATATGTTAGCACTTCAGTGGATCAAAATCCACTTCTTCAGTGGATCAAAATCCACTTCTCTCAGCAGGCGATAAGCACCTCCAATCCTTGACTAACTGGTTGAAGAGAGCAAACCATGGAGCCCCACCCACTTCTTTGGATTCCCAGATGTAGTTGCAAAAGGAATGGGGGAAAGAGAGGAAGGTGGCGTCTGCACGTTGCTGTCTTGCTTGGACTGGAGAGGTGAGAGAGATATAAAAAGATTAGAATAGTGGACCTATTATCTGTAAATGGGATTTCCTGGTTTATTTTTCTGCTGTCTCCTGACACCTATAAAATCTATGCATTAAAAAAGAGTTATCATCCTATGAACACTCTACTAACACGAAAGGTACATTTTATGGAAATAGGCTGCCAAGGAATATGCAAGTGAGAAAAGATTTGGATCCACTGTAGTAAGTAGCTGATAAGATCAGCAGCTACATTTTCTTGTTATTGTTGTGAATTATGAAGCCTTGTTTACTAATAAAATATGACTGTAGCATTTTGTAATCATGATAGGATACAATAACCCAAGAAGCTCTACTGATTGATATGTTCACAAACTAGAAAGCATATTAACATAAATATAGCTGTTCTATTCCAGAAATTATAATTTCTAAATTTATCTCACAATATTTTAATAGGATTGAAAAAATGCAGTGTGCTATATGGCTGCAGATCCAGAGGCTGGGAGTTTGATTCCACCACGTGCCTCCTTCACAGGAGCTGGACTCAGCAACCCATAGGGTCTCTTCCAGTTCTGCAGTTCTAATATTATTATTATTTTAAGATTATATGGTGCTTGCAGTTGACTAGTCACATTAAGAATCACTCAGAAACAACACTGAGACATAACGTGTACGCACTGAACTACTATCTCCTCTTGACAGAACTGCCAATACTGTCAAAAAAGGCATCATGGTTGTGTCTTAACCTAGACTCCCAATTTGTTAGTCCCTTTAAAAAAAACAGTCTGGAGCCAGGTATGAATCTTGTTTCCCATTCCACTTTTGGTAAAGGAGCAACCAGCCAGTGTCTACATTCAGATGTAATGGGAAGTTCTTTTTTCTGCCCAAGTAGCACATTCAAATAATGTGAATGAGCACACTGGCAATGAATAGAAAGACCAAATTCATAGTAATTTGGATTCATCAACACACTGAAATATAACAATATTCTACACCTGCACAACTGAGCTAATTTTTGTTCCAGCCAGTAAACTCAAGATTTTCAGAAGTAATTAATTCATCTGATCAATGTAAAGTATGCTTTCCTGAACCTCACTTCATGCTTACAATCAAGGCAGGGATTCCAGTCCCTGTTAGTAGATAAGTGATGAGCAGTTAAGCCATGCCAAGTGCCAAGCAGATTTCATAGATAGGTGATTCCTCAAGTCAAGCAGGATGCAAGGAAAGGCCTAACATTATGCAGAGTGAGGCAGTCACCTCAGGTGACAATTGCAAAGAGGTAGCAGCAAGGTTCTGTCAATGTAGCCTGTTCCATATCCCTCAAGCTAGTCTGCTGGTTTACAGGTGCAGCACTGCATGGCACTCTACTGACATTCAATTGCCAGTCTGATTGACTTTTGTACATTAAAAAGGTAGAGAAGGGGCTTGTACCTCAAGGAGAGAAGGGGCTTGTCCTGGCAATCATGGGTGTGAAGAATGGCAACAAATAGAATAAACAAAATACTTCTCTGTTAAAATGTCCAGGAAAGGGTCTATACTACACAGACTTGCAAAAGCAACATTCAGTGAACTGCTAAGGAAACTAAGTGGTAGATCACCATTGACATTAATTTAACCACAACGATCATTTGAGTCTATGGAGTTGTTCTTATGCACCAGTGGAGAAGGAAGAAATGCAGTGACTATGGATAGGAAACAAAATTTTAGAAGTACAGTAGTTTGTTTTTAAAAAGTAAGCTTCAATGTCACATCAAATTTCAAAATACAAATAACAAAAAGTGTAAAGAGGAGGGCCAGGAAATGAGAAAGACTAAAGCGGTGGTTAATTCCAAAAAGGATGCATGTTCCTGTTATTTGGAAATCGTGCTTTTCAGCTGGAATTCCTTCCCTCTACTTCTGAATAGTTTCTGAACGTTACATCACAAGAGATATTTATTGCATGCAGAGTTATCTCCTCTTATTTTCAGGTGTTTTTTTCTTTTTACTTTGCCATATAGAAAATCACTACCATTTCATAGCAACAACCTAAACCAGCATATTGATAGGCATTACCAATTTGTTCTCCAATACAGTATTCTGGAAAAAAATGTATTAATATTTTTGAGAACAGGTAATGGGGCTGAACCCCAAATGAGCTGTAGCTTACAAAAAGAGCATATCATGTCAAGCAGGCCATCCTTCCACCTTTTCTACATTCACAAGAGCCCTTAAGCACTCCATATTTTGACATGCCCAAGATATTTTACACATCAGAGGACCTGTTTTAAATGACGTAAGCCACCTTGGGTCCTTTTGGGGAGAAAGGCGATATAGAAATACTTTGAATAAATAAATTAAATAAATAAACAGCTGTTGGGTGACTTTCTCCTTGTATTTCTGGGAAGAAACTGGGATGAGGCAAAATGAGGAGCGAACGATTTTCGACAGGTGGACTATCTAAAGAAAAAACAAGGGGGAAGCCTTCCATATCTAGGAAGGCCATAACCAGTCAAACAAATCAGCAGCAGAGGTGAAAACATAACGGTGATAATATATAAGATAGTTGACAAAGAACACAAAGAACATAGCAGTCGGTGGAAGAAAAGTGAAGGATGTATTAGCCTAAAAAGCACGATGCTCTCAGGGTGTGCTGGAGGGGAGGGGGGGCCGTATCCTGTGCTCTTTCTCTTTGCACAGAGGAGAGGGAGGAAAGGTGGGGTGAATGGGAAACACAGAGAAGCGAACGGTTCTACCTCCTTTTTCTTTTGGCTTCCCCCGTGCTGGACACAAAGGAGGGAGAGGAGGAGGAGGCAGCCCTTCGCGGACAGGTGCAGCGCCAGGCGCCGCGAAGATGCCATGGCTGCCGAACGGCGTCGCGTCAACCTCCTCCACCAGAGTAGAGTACCTGGAAAGCGCCGTTATCCACGCCAACTTCCTCCGCACCGATTGGGTCCCGGCCACAGCCTATCCCAACGCAGCCCGCTCTGCAAAGAGCCCTGGGAAATGTAGTCTCTTCGAGTCATATTTGCCTCCATTCAGGCTGAGAAGTCTAAGTCCCGTGAGGTGTTGATTTCTTTGCTTTATCTTATTTAAAAAAAATCAGTATGATTTACAGACTGGAAGCGGTCCTCAGTGCCGACTTGGAAGAGCTGGATCCATTTTCCTTTCCTGGGATGTTGGTTTAACGAGATTTATACACACATAAGGGCTTGTAGAATGGCACTGCGGTTGATTATCACTATATTAATTTTTTATTATTATATAAATGGTATAGGAAGAATATCATACCTTGTACTGTAATGTCTTTATGCTTTGCGGCAACAAGATGGTCAGAAGGAAGGTGTGCTTTGTAAGTAATGGACTATAGCATTCAAGCAAGTGGCTCGTTCTGTAGCCTGTAACGTACAGGCCAATGGCTTCTTGAATTAAAATTTTCGAAAAGTAGTGGATGCTAACTATTTCAGCCACCTAAAACAGGAGCTAGTGGGGACTAAAGAGAGGTTTTTAATAAATTGTAACCCCATGATAGCTAATTACTGTTTTGGCTTTGGATCTGCAAGTGTCCGTCAGTTTATTGACTGTCCTTATACCAATCATACAGCAAAAATAAACCTTTACAAATATCCAGAATTCCAAATGCTTCATAAAAACATTTAGCAATAAAAGACCATTTAAAATTTAATATCTAATCACTACAGAATTTCCAAGACCTGAAATTACAAGTGTATTTAATTACTTTTTTAAAAGCAACTTTCTGAGCTCTGTTATGAACTGCTTTTATAAACTACTATAAAATCAATTTCACAAATGCTAACCAAGAACATGAAGCTTCTTTATTGCTTTGGGGCATTTTATGGATGTGTTTTGTATTTCTTTCAGCCTATTGATTTCCCAGCTGTACTTGGGGCTAGGTTAGAAGCAGGTTATGGGAAGCCTTGGTACTCCATGTAAAATCTCCTGTGAAAACATGGAAAGTCAATACATTGTATGTATTAAATTATGCTTTTTTAATGTCTTTTAAAAATATTCAATATATTCTATATTTTACTTTGTTTTTTTAAATGCCTTTGTTGTGATCAGTAAGTTAAGAAATGCCAAATACACAGGAAGATGTCCAACTTTTGTTTAATGCCACTGAGTTTTCCAAGCCCTCTTTTAGGTATAGAACAATGCAAGTGGCACTGGGCTTTGCATTAATTCAGCCAAAGAACCACCTTTGGAACTTAGCAAGAAAACAAAGTTATGTGACACAATTTTTCATGCACAGAGATCTACAGTTTGAAACCTATTGGTATGACAAAGAAGTGAAATAGAGAGTAAGTTGGAAGAAAAATTACATCTGGATTCATACCTAAGCACCAATTTTATAATGGGAATATAAATCATAGCACACCCTGTCTAAATGAACCTAACTTGACAAAGTACCTGAGAGCAAAATCAGATTGTAATGCCCTTATTTTCCACCAATCCTGAAAAATCATCTCATTTGACTCTTCCCGTCCCTGCAGTAGATCTGAGTGCCGCACTCCAGACATGCTGAAGTTTCCCTACTGTTTTCAAGAGCAGCCCTGTGTAGATAGCATTACAGTAATCTATATTTGAGTTATATTTGCCTCATTTCCCAGCCATGCAAATATAGGGGAAGCCTCACCGATTTGTTCACCAGTTGTCATGAGCAGCATCATTACCGGGCATTTTCTGAAAGGATCAATCAAAAATCCACATTCATGGTTGCCACCTTTACTTCCTGCAGGGCCCACTGCAGCAGTACTCTTGTCTGTCTATTAATGTTTGCTGAAAAGTGAGTTCAATTAATGTTTGCTGTAAAACTACCTTTAAAAAGTATTGTAATTCTTTGTATAACTTGTTACAGAGTCTTCTTCCTACAAGTAACTAATTACTGTTAATCTCCCCACACACATCCTGTGACTTTGTGTTATTTATTTTGTTACTCGTGACCTTTTGTTATTTTTAGTACCTTTTAGGGTCAATAATTCCCCTCCAAAATAATGAGTCAGCATTACTCGTGACATGAAATTTTTCTAGTGATATTATAGCCAGAATCCTACCACTGATTTATCTGCATGAGGAAATCACATTAAGACTTGGCGGCTCATTAGCACGGTTCTGATTGCTTTCCAGGGCAGATACCTGACTGGGCGCATGCCAAGGAACACAACCCAAATCTCTTTAATGGGCAACAATTTGTTGCCAGTACTGTATTTATGTGATTTCCTTTACGCAACATTATTCTGGCCTACTCCTCATTGCTTCGACATAATTATTGTAACGCCCAGCCCTGACCTCGCCTGTCCGTCACAGCTGGGCAGTGAATCATCAGCCAATGGTATGACGGAGGGTGGAACTGAAGGGGAGGAGCTGGTATAAAAAGGGGGGGTAAAGAGTGTGGGGGGGCAGATAGATTGAGTGAGAGAGTGTGAGAGAGAAAGAGCTTGTTTAGAGGCCTGTGTGCCTGAGTTGTCAGTGAAGGAAAGTCTATGTTTAATTAATTGAAGAAAGTGATTTACATCGTGATTATCTTCCTGTGATTTACCTATTTTTAATTTGTAATTAATAAACCAAGTGTTTTGTTTTGAAAGAAACCCTTGCCCTTTTTATTTAAAGGTAAGGTTGGTGGCAGCAAGAGTGTGTAGTGGCGGTACTGTATTTATGTGATTTCCTTTACGCAACATTATTCTGGCCTACTCCTCATTGCTTCGACATAATTATGTAATGAGGAGTAGGCCAAAATAATGTTGCGTAAAGGAAATCACATAAATATTGGCAACAAATTATATCTTCATAACTTCCGAAAAATAATGTAACAGGTAATCTGATTACATAGAACGTATGACTTCCAGGCTCTCAGTGTGTCCTTAATAAGTATAAATTATGTTGCAGCCGTAATATTTCAGACAGTGGCGTGGTGGGCATTCTGAGAGGCCTTGAGTAGGCAGTGACATCAGAGTGCTGAGCCACGTTACATTATGCAATGAGGAGTAGGCCAGAATAATGTTGCGTAAAGGAAATCACATAAATATTGGCAACAAATTATGTCTTCATAACTTCCGAAAAATAATGTAACAGGTAATCTGATTACATAGAACGTATGACTTCCAGGCTCTCAGTGTGTCCTTAATAAGTATAAATTATGTTTGTTTGTTTGTTTGTTTGTTTATTTGTTTGTTTATTTAATATCCCGCCTATCTGGTCGGTTAAGACCACTCTAGGTGGCTTAATATTTTGCAGCCGTAATATTTCAGACAATATAAACTGCACACCTGGCAGCCCTATCCTAAGGTTATCATTTTCTAAAATAAAGGATAGTGCCATGAGCAGTCAATATTATCATGAACTGGGAGTCCAATAGACGCAGAAGCTGAAGAACCAATGGATGCTGCTAGCAGAGACAAGTCATATGCTCAGGTCTTATGCTTGAACTGGTGAGGCCTGAGGACCTCGAAAATGGCAAAGATTGGGACCCCTGAGCCATCAGGCTTTCCATACTCAAGACAACATTGCTAGCCCCTGTACCTGGCTCCACCATTTGCACAGCCACCCCACCACCAGAGCTTATTAAGAGCTATCCTTGGTGCTATTCTTCCGACTGCCTTGTTGCTCCTCACAACTGGCCTGAGCACAGCAAATCCCAAATCCCTGCAGTGTCTTGTTTCTGCTCAGTGACACTTGTGAATCAACCCTATCATCACCACAAAACCAAAAGTACAGACTGGGAAATAGGAGGCCAATCAGAATTTTTTTCTACATTATGTTATGCCTATCCACCCACCCAACTCACTCTTGAAGGAAACAATACAGGCACCAAAACATTATCCTCCTGTTTCTGTTCTGGTCCTCTTCAGGACATTTATATTACAGTACTTTTCTTTTTTTCCTGCTGCGTCCTCTTTGTTTATTTTTGGCTTTTTAATGTTATAGGTTTCTGTGCAGTTTACGTTTGGTGTGTGCTACCCTCATCTTACTGTAATTTATCCCACTGTGAATGGTTCCAGGCTGCAGAACTTGTTCTGCAACATTTCCTCCTAATTTCACCTTTGATGGGTATATGACAAGTGATACTGTGAAGGTGACATAGGAAGTTTATTCTCCATTTGTTAAACATTTGGCTGGGAACTGCTCAGAGCTGGAGTCCATTGTCTCAGGAATTATGTGTGGTCCCTTGCACTAAATGGCTTGAGAATCAAGTGGCTTTCACAGGTCACACCGGCAGTTGGCAAAGACCTGAATATAGGTATATAACTCTGTTGTTGCTGTCTAGCTCAGTAGACTGAGGAGATGGCTACCATGTACACTACCATCTTGTGACATAAGCAGCATAAATAGAGGGGAAAGGAGCCATTTTGTTATTTTTTATTTACTTAACAACATTCATATACTGCTTTAACGATTCAGGATTTAAACATCTCAGAGTCATGCAAAATAAGAAATACAATAAAACAGCTGTAATAAAACAGTAGTAGAGTGGGGGATGTCAAAGTCAGTACCATGTAAATCCATGACGCCCAATGCCATGGTCACCTCTACTAATGTTAGCAACCTATGCCCACCATGTAGTTAGAAACTAGATAAGAGAAATGTTACTTTGCTCAATTGTAACTCCTGGAAAACCTCAGCAACCATGGGCATGGGCCATGGTGACTGAGCTTTTCCGGGAGTTGTATCCAAAAAGGTAACTTTTCCTACTCTGTCAGGAACCATGTGCTTCTATCAGCACACACCCACTCTCCACTATTACCTCAGAGTAACAAAGTTTATCAAAAAGATTAGCCTTTCCTTTGTATTGCCACTCTGTAGTTGTTGGCAGTTTTTCCTAGTGAGTTTGTTCACTAGCTGCTGCTCTAAATGTATATTTCGAAATATACATCATGTCAAGGAGTAGATCCCTATTATAGCCAGATAGAGGGGGCAAGTCTT